CCTTTTTCTCTACGTAAGTAGGAGATAATTATTTGGTACGCTCTCTCACTAATTCATTTTTACACGATTTAATCACCACCGCCACTAGTATCTGCAACTTTTTATACTCGTATATTTACACTGTCACCCTCTCTATATAATATGTATGTATATATAGAGAGAGCTGTGTTTTGTGTGTGTGTGTGTGTATAAACTTCATCTTTCAGTTAATTTTTTTTTATTGGATTTTCGCATGCACCGGACGTAATTCTGCGGTGTTTATGTTTTGATGATGGATTAATCTGAGTTTTCAACACTCTTACATCCTCTAATTCATTTGAATTGTTGATGGTGGCTTTGTTGCTTTTTTGTTGCATGCAACCGATGACTTTACCAATTTATTATTGGGTATTGTTTAGATTTTAATTTAGGGGAAGAAGATTCAATTTTAATTTTATTTCTAATTTCTAATTGTGCTGTTGAAAAGTTGGTTACTTTTTGAAAAACATTGCAACTGTCCTGCTGGTTGTTTACTGTTCATGGATTAATTAGAGAAGGCTAATTGGGGGATTTATGTTGCTGCAATTCTAAGTCAATTTGAAAGGAATATTTAGTTGCAAATCGGAATATTCTCTTGTTTGGGCTTCATTTGATTGATTTAAACTGTTAGTTAATAAGCTTGTAGATCTGTTACGCATTGATATAGCATCATTTGTTGTTATATTTTTCATGTAGTTTCTAGTTTGTTTTTATAGGATGTGGATTCATCGAAGTCTTCGTTTTAATGATTTATCTTTGGAAAACAACATAAATAGCGGTAAATCAGCATATCGATAATTTTATGGTGTACATTTGATGCATACAAATGAAACTGTTTAGAATTGACCGTAGAGATTGCCCTTTCGTTTGTGACAAATTACTAAAATTCGATTTGTTACCAGTTGCTCTTTGAGTTCCTTTTAAAACACTCTTCATGATTAATGAATATCAGGTTTGTTTATGGGGAGAGCTTTCCGAGTAGGTTTAGTAATCTAGTTTTCTCCATTTGATTTCGATAAGAAGGATTATATCAGCTTTTACTTATACTGTCCGATGAAGAATTAATTGGATGAGTTTTAATTATTTAGGTGGAAATACGTTATTTCGTTTATGAACCTTCATGTTTGCTGGTCATATGGTGTTTTGCACGTTTTTTTTGCATCTCTGTTCTTCATTACCTGAATAATATCGTGTAATGTTTTGTATCTATTCATAACGTCTTAGGAAAATGTTATCCATCTCACTGATTTTTCTCTATTGACTCTCAGTAGATCTCAGAGTAGTTGATATTCTGAGCTATGGAAGTAAACGGTCCTCGCAAAGCTAGAAAAAAGGATACGACCACTTATCAAAACGGTGACGTCAGCATATCAAATATTGAAGATGAGCTTGACCCATGGACTGCCTGGGCTTATAAGCCTCGTACAATTACTTTGTTACTTATTGGTGCATGCTTCCTCGTGTAAGTTTTTTCCATCATTATATCTTGTATTTATAAGTTTTGGACTCCAAATATTTGGTAGATTGACTGATCATCGAATTATCGAATTACTCCGAATAATTTTTTTTTTCTTTCTGGAAAGCAGAACAGCAGTCATTAATTTGCATTCTTTTTGAAAAGTTCCAATTTCTCGTAATTTTCTTATTTGAATATTTTTTCTCAGATGGGTAAGTGGAGCTCTTGACCCCGGACGCAATTCAGAGAGCGACGTTGTTACTTCTGTGAAAAGGTCTGTCCTACAAAGCTTTATTTACGCCTTGCCTATGTTTATTTTGTTCTGTCTTTCTTATCTTTGATGAGTTTCTCGAGAACTTAATAACTGTTGCTCGATTCTTTTATAGGGGTGTATGGGCAATGATTGCTGTGTTTCTTGCTTATAGCTTATTACAAGCTCCTTCTACGTAAGTTGTTTAGTTGTTCTATTTATCGCTACGTGATTTTAGTAGTTGATCGATTTTCTAACTATGTAGCATGGTTTTGCCAAATGATAACGCAGACCAGTTTAAATCTATAAAATATATGGAGTAGATGCTTAAAGTTTTTTGTTGATCTGTGTATGCCTTGTTCCAAACTCTTTTTGTTTGTTATTTTCTGAGTATGCTCGTATTCTTATTTACAGAGTACTTATCAGACCACATCCTGCAATTTGGCGCCTAGTTCACGGGATGGCTGTTATTTACCTTGTTGCGTTAACATTTTTGCTCTTCCAGGTTAGTCCTTTTAGCAGCCACTTACATTTTCTTTTTCCTATTTTAGCTGGAATTTATGGCTTATTCGACAGTTGTAAGCATCTTATCTGATATTGATTTAAGCATCGTCTCTCGTAATCAGCAAATATTTGTGATAAGTATTTTATTGATGGACGTTATGTGAAAATAGTGTTATTGTTATTCGTTCTGTGAAGTTACTTTAACGAGCATAAGAATTTTGCAGAGTGGCAGATAAAAGTAATTACAAAATGGCGTCTTAGTCTTCTGTTAGCTCTCATTTTTATAGGAGTGTGTAAATTACCGGAATATGCATTTCCAATATATAGTAAATCATACGGTTAATAGGTCAGCAGAATCTGTTCTGCTCTGTGTTTCATATGATAATCAATATATAGTATATGCAGATATTTATAAGTTGCTGTTTCACAGTTATATTTATTCGATTCTGATGGACCCATTCGTTCATATTATTTGCAGAAGCGTGACGACGCTCGGGAATTTATGAAATTCCTGCACCCTGATCTTGGTGTTGGTAAAGATTTAATCTCTCTCCTTTTCTTTTCTTTTTTATCAGCATGCAATTTATAAGGTCTCAATTCTGTGCAATTTATCTGATGCAGAACTTCCGGAAAGATCATACGGTGCCGATTGCAGAATATACGTGCCTGAAAATCCAACGAGCAGGTTTAAGAATGTTTATGTATGTTATCTTTATATTTGCTCGTGCATTTGAATCTTCTGTTCTTGTTACATTCTTCATAAATAAAGACGCCCCACATGTTGTAATTGTTTTTAGGAGACACTTTTTGACGAGTTTGTAGTGGCTTGGATGGTGGGGGAAAGCTATAATGATCCGTAATCAGCCTCTTTTGTGGTTACTTTCAATTGGGTTTGAGGGTTTGAATTAATGGAGGTCGGTCAGCTTTTATTATGCACATTGCTATTCTTTTTCTCTTTATTTAATTCAAAGCAATTACTGTACTTGGATGTCTTTTATTCTCTGAGATGTTTTTCTTTCTGGTGTTTTAGCTTACCTTTCGCCACATGTTGCCGAATTTCAACGAGTGTTGGTGGGACAGCATTATTCTCGATATACTAATCTGCAATTGGTTTGGTATGGATTTTGCTTTTGTTTTTTTGTTAATTTTTTACTTCGAAATAGTTGATGCAAATTCCCCTGCCGCTACCCTTTATTTAAATCCTCCAACACTTACGTCCTTGCTTACAGGTATTTGGGCTGGAATGCAAACTGTTCGGTATTTTGACGGTAAAACTTATGAGTGGGTTGGTATAAGCAGGCAACCTAACATCATGGGCAAAGTACGTCAATTTGCAACACTCGTCGTAATTTTAATTGTTTTCATACTGTCTTTATTTCCTACCATTTGTGTGGATACAAACCGAGGTAGAATTACTTACTGCATAATTGTGAGAGTTTTCAGGTGAAAAGAACACTGGGTCAATTCACACCTGCGAGATGGGATAAAGACGAATGGCACCCTTTTCTTGGTCCGTTCCGATTTATTCAAGTTCTCAGCCTTTGCGTAATTTTCTTGACTGTGGAACTGAATACCTTCTTTCTCAAGTTTTGTCTTTGGATTCCTCCTCGAAACCCACTCATCGTATATAGGTTGGTTTTGTGGTGGCTACTCGCCATACCTACAATCCGCGAGTACAATTCTTACCTACAAGACAGGTACTTAATTCCCTTTCAATTTACTATTTCATTTTTTTTTATTCAATAGACTTTATTTGCTCAAATCATTTTTTGCTATTTTAGAAAACCCGTGAAAAAGGTTGGATCTTTCTGTTGGCTCTCGGTCGCTATCTGCATTGTCGAACTCCTCATCTGTATCAAGTTTGGACACGGTAATTTTTTTCTAGCTTAATTAGCATTTACATTAGCAAATCTATTCGAGTTTCCGTTGATTTTAATATATATACATTTATTTATTAATTTCAGGACTTTTTCCTAATGCCATGCCAAAGTGGCTAGTTATATTTTGGACTTGTGTTGGATTTGGATTTGTGACATCATTGGGTGCATGGTCATGGAAACTTCTGCACAGATCATCATTAAGGAGAAAGAGGCAATAGATTTCGATCTTTTATAGTATGTTTTCACAATTCCTTAGAGATCTCTCGAGTTTTTATTTTCTTGATTAAATTAACCTTTTGCTGTAAATACCCACCACATTTATAGCTGTAAATGCATTCTATTATAGGTTAGAGTTTTCTTTTTTCTTTTACAATTATTTATGTAGACAATCTCGATTCTTTTACTTCACGAATAGGCAAATGATGTTTCTTTCCCCCTCGAAAGTTGCTATTTGTCTGAAATTATTTTGGAGGACAAGCAATTCCATTCTTTGAGACCCTTTTTAGTGGTTTTTTTTTTATTCTTGGAGTTCATTCATTTTTCGAAACTAAATTTCAGCGAGGACTACTACTATGTAAAGGCTCCAAAGTTTATATGGTATTCATTAAACTCTACGCAGTCTTAATCATATTTTCTTGAAACAAGGTGAATGTAATATTCAGTGTTACGCCGCCTTTCGGAATTTTAGCATTGTGTACTTCGTTTGTTCCCTCACTTCCATCGAACCCACCCCTTTCGTCATCTACTTGTTGGTTTGATATTGTTTCGTAAATTTTATTTTTTTCTCTTTTATTTATAGGCAGACACAATGTTAAAATGAGAATATTCGACAGTGATTCTAAACTTGCTGACATAGAACAAAACTGTTCTATGATCCTAACTGCACAAAGCCCTTATTACAATTTTATTTGTACAAATTCCATGTCTTTTTTTTCAATTTGGCACATTTTATTTGTGTACATTTTTCGTTCTGCTTCCCGAAGAAGTCGACTGGCTCGTTTAACGCTACAGAATAAATTTTGCTAAGAATGAAATGGTGCAGAATTGATTTTTTTCTTCCATAAGGTCTTTCCCCTCACTATTTCTTCATTCTTGAGTTCCCCTTTTACGTGTAGCAGATGAGTGAAGCTAAACGGCCCGATATTTAAGCACCCGAGCAAACCTTTTCTCTCGAGAATTTCCGAAGAAAATGAGTTCCCATTCAATCCAATGTGGTTATGTTTATTATTATATTGTTGATCAATCCCAGTTTTTAGAAGCCCTTCGTATTGTTGCGGCTCGCAGAGTGACTGCACCACATCGGAGCTACCACACTCTCGTCGGTATTCTAGTATCATGTCCGAAAGCTGGTGCTTCTCCATGAATTCATCGGGAATTGTCTGCAAAAAAATAAAAATAAAAATAAAAAAAATAAAAGAATTCAAGATTCACAAATTCATTCCCATTTTTTATTATAATGAAAATTGTTGAGAAGGAAATTAACGAAGCGAAAGTTCGGTATTTACCTCGAGCATCCATCCGACATACTTCACGTTATTAACGTGATGGTTCATGTCCAAATCACTTCTTTTCGGCTGCTCCAACCGGAAAAAAAAAGACGAGATTTTATTCAGTAATTTTTTTTCACTTTCCATTTGTTTGTTTTTTGTTTGTTTTGTTTTTGGTTTGTACCTTCAAGTCTGAGTGAACATAGGTTGCATTGGAATCCAGTTTGTGTATCTTCTCAGGAATTTCGTCTTTTATGGCTTGCTTCTTTATGAACCACGGTGCAATCTCAGCCCTTACTTCGTCTGGAATCTTTGATAGACGCCTCGTTTTCTCGTTCATCATCACCCATGTGCTGTTCCAAAATATCCATCATATATGTTATATAATACATATATATGTATATATTTGAAAAAAACACTGTGAACATTGTCGTTTATACCTGGTTGCGCGTGCGAAAACGAGGCCAGTGGCTTGGCTCCTGAGCTGCCAGTCTCTCCTCATTCCATTCTTACCTGATGCTCCAACCCATGTGTCTATTTCAATCACCTCTCCCCTGTTCATTTTTTTTATAACTAATTTGTATTTTTTTTTAATAAGTATATAACAAATTATGAAATAATTAGTGAAACAATTGATTTACCAGATTGGATAATGATCGACTTGAACTTGCATTCTCGAAACAACCCAAATCAGATTGTTTTTCATCATCCCGTGTGTCGCACCAAACCCGTCGCTTAGTAGCCCCGACATCCATACATGATTCAATGCCGTTTCCTGTTTTTTCGGGCAGAGCCGGAAAAAAATTATCGAACTGACCAAACACCAACTTATAAATTAAAAGTCAACTATTTAATTTTACCTGAAGCAAATTGAGTATGCTCTCGATGGTGGTGGTTTTATCGGGGCCCACTTCGTATGACCTGACGACAACTGTCTGTCTGTATCCAACACCGTCTTCTATGACAATTCCCTGACGATACGGATCGATCAACTGCTTCTTCGTCGGGATATTCTGACGGTTTTGCTGCTCGAATACCGAAACATTCTCATCAACACAAGGGCTTATTGCAATTACATGATTATTATTATTATCTTGGCTCAATAACTGCACGTTGTTACTACTCTTGGTCCCGTTTATCTTGACGCAGTGGAGTTTCTGTTTATTCGGTTTTCGAGCATTTTTGTCGACGGAGCATAGGATGCTAAGGGACAAGTGGTGGGAGATAGTACCCATTTTTATTACTAACTTGGTCTACAGTTGAAAGAAAAGTTTAAAAGTAATAATGCCTTGATCTGCTTATATAGTATTGTAGGGTGTGTTTGGCGGATGGGACTAAAAAAAGTATTACAAAGGTTGGGAAACAACAAAAAAGAAGCACTTTGTTTCTAGATTTGGTCATTTCAAAGACATTTTGGTGTCTATTTGATTGATTTTAATTTTGGAATGGGTGATGTGAGCTGTGGGATCTTTGCTTAGCATTAATCGACAGTTTTAAACAAGACATGCACCAACTTTTAATTGATTAATTTAATATATGGATTTTTTTTTTAATAAAATAAAAATTCACTATCTTGCCCTTTTTTTTCCCTATAACTTGGGCTTGGGATTTTCAATTTGCCCATGCAAGCTTCTGTTCTTTGGTTGTGTTGAATCAGATGGCTGCTTAGTTTTTTTTTTCTATCTCTTTTTTTTAATGAAGAAACTTGCAACTAACCATATGAGTGCATTGAGTAAAAATTTACACTCTCGTATAATAGTTTGCAAACTATACGAGAGACGTAAATCACAGTGCTTAATTTCATTAATTATAGGTTGCAAAAGAGTTCAAATCCCAAAATCGGGACAGCAAAATTAGGCAACACATTTAATAGGACATAATGAAAATAAAAAAATTCTTTAAGTCCTTCCGTCATTTATTATACGTTTATTGCTACAAATAGGTTTGGCTACATACCTAACAACGTAGCAAGAAGCAAATAAAGTTTAACTACTGCACTGGAGTCTGGAACTCGTCGAGATCGTTGATTGCATGTTAGTCGGTGGCTAGCAGTGGCGGAACTTAATAGGGGCATGGGGTGCCGTTGACCCCCCAAGATTTTTTTTTAGATATTTGATACTAAATTTTTTGAATATTACTTTTGCCCCCCCAAAGTTTTTGTAAATATTTTTCTTGAACCATTAAAATAAAAAATTATAGATAAACATATCATATTATGAATATAAATTATAGATAAATATATCATATTTAATATAAAATATAAAATAAGATGGTTAAAACTTGTATTATTTTAAAAAAATTATGAATATTACTTATTTTTGAATTTTTTTTATCTAACGCCTTAAAGAAAAAGATGAGACCGTGCCATGAATCTTCGAAATATCAAGTGCAGTATATTATTAGAATAATTTGAATTAATTTATAATTTTTTGTGATGATTAAAATATGATATATATAATATATATAATTATATATGATATTTTAATTAAAAATTAGGGTAAATTACACACACCCTCCTGAGGTATGCTTAAATAACTGTAAGGTCCCTGTGGTATCGATAATTACACTCAGCCCCCTGAAACGTAGTCAGAAACTCTAATGGGATAATGAATTGGATATGTTATTCCGATAGGGTTCTAACGGACTATTGGTTTCAGAAAGTGGTGGAGACAACAAAGAGCTATGGGTGATTTAATAAATGTTCGGGAATGTTCGGGGAGCCATGTCACCACATAGCTCTTTGTTGTCTTCACCACTTTTTGAAACCAATAGTCCGTTAGAACCCTATCGGAATAACGTATCCAATTCATTATCCCATTAGAGTTTCTGACTACGTTTCAGGGGGCTAAGTGTAATTATCGATACCACAGGGACTTTACAGTTATTTAAGCATACCTCAGGGGTGTGTGTGTAATTTACCCTAAAAATTAGTTATATAAACTTATTTTTTGCAATGTTTTGTGCACCTAAATTTTTATTCGGGGCGCTGCCTCGAACCCTAAAATTTTAGTTAGCCCCCTACATTTTGATCCTGGTTCCGCCCCTGGTGGCTAGTATGAGGTCGATTCCGCGAAAACCCTCCACGTATAAATTATTAATAATTGAATGACTAATAAACCATTAAAAAAATAAATAGCAATTATCACTTAATTGATCGCATACCTTTCAATAATCGGAGCTAAAAGGAGAATTATAGTTTATGTGTCGAGGGTCAGATCTCAAGTGTAGGTGCGGCAAACAAATAATAAGTGAACTTAGAGTCAAATAAATTCTTGATTACATCTTTTGACTTTGATTCTAGATTCTACCTAAGAGCATCCACAATTGACTCTTTAAACATATTTTTTTTATCAGATTTTAGGCAATCTTTAAATTTTGGAGAGAGGAGCTGCCATAGTGTGTGACTTTCGGCCTCTTTATCACTCCTCAGATTTTGAAGCCAAAAAATGAATGTCAAATCCAAAGGTCTTGGGATGCAACAATTTCTAAAATTAAAGTTGGCTTATGATGGTAATTTTTATATGTGTCGTACCAAGCAGTCGGACAATTTTTCCACTTCCAATGCATACAATCTAAAGAACCAAGCATACCTGGAAATCCTCGCGACCCATCTTCTTGAAGTAAATGCGCAATATCATGTTTATTTGGTAAGCGCATGTGTTGTTCCTCGTACAATTCAATTATTGATGAATTTTTTTTCTTCAAACTCGATATTGCAACCATCGCCCCAATCTTTATATATTCATCACAGTGTTCTGCAGAAAATCCATAAGTAAGTATACAAAGTGTAGCAGTTATTTCTTGAATAGATGATTGGCCAAGATCATCTATAATTGTTGGTGATTTTTTTCACGATCACGATCAATATATTGTCGTTGAGCTGGTTGTTCTATATACGCTTTCTGGAATAAAATTAAGCATGTTTTGAGTCACTTTCTCCATGTAAATGGAAACAAGATCTTCTTCCTCGGAGGATGTGGATGAAGAACTTGATGATTGAAAATATGCCAATTCATTTTGTGGAAACCATCCAAATGAAGAAACCATAATTTAGATACAAATAACAGTAAGTGTATATGTTATGGAGTTGGTACATTTTTGTGTGTGTATAGGACGAAATGTATTTATAGAAAATATATGTATTGTGAAACCTTTTGAGCCAACAGGGACATGCAATAAACAAGACACGAGGCTTAAAATAAATTGAGCACACATTTCAAAATCTTTGTTGACGTTTGATTTCCTAGCACGCATTTCAAACCTTTCACTAGCTATTGAAATTCAGGGCACACACTTCAAAAATTCAACCCTAATGAAAGTTTTACTATACTACACAAGGCACATATTTCAATGTTGTTCTATTATAAATAACCGTAATTTGTTGTGTTATAATTCACCAATAGATAGTACAATTACATATAAATTATGGATTCACGTATTCCTTTTAATCCTGATGGAATAGGATAGAGAAACAATAAGTCGTGCACGGAAAAATAAGTCAACATTTATAGATTCTAATAAATAGTTTATTAGCTTTCTCGTAAATCTTTGTTTATGTTTTTAATGCCTTTAGTTGGAGAGGTCTTGCAACAATTTTATTCGGACTCATTTATGATATCTTATATTAATTTATGTTATTTGTGAATATTTTAAATTTGTAAATACATAGACAAAAATAAATAATTCACAACTTATTTAAACATTATATAGAATTAGGTAAAATAGTTTCATTCAAAAATTAATATAAATTGTCGATAGATATATATTTTACCAAATAAATATATAAAAAAATATAATTTCTAATTATTATATTTATAAAGGTAATTGGCACTTTGCACCCTCAAATTACATGACATTGGCACTTTGCATTTCTTCAATCACAATTTCTTTGGCACTTTGCACCCCCTTCACTTTTTTGGCTAAAAACATGACTTGTTACCTGTTTGTGTGATTTTAAGAATAGTAAATTTCTCTTCCTTCTATTTCTTCAGAAATTTAAAGTAGGCCATCATCTAATAATCCGGATCATGAATTTACCCATGTTCTTTGTCTAACCCTCCCCCTTTCTCGTACTCTTTTCTATTCTTGCAAAAATTCTATTCCCAATCTGTATAATTAACATGCTGTTCAAGTTGAGCTTTGTATTTTTCCGGTCGGTTTTATGTTGAATTCTCCACTTCCGCCTTCAGCCACCACTTTGTGGTCCTCTTCGGCAACTTCATCATCGGGTTGTTGTTCGTGCTCTGCCGGCACTCTCCAACGACGGTGGCGGCGATTTACTACGACTATTACATGAGATTTGGCGTGATGGCTCATCAAAGATTGACTCGGTCATCGGATAGTAGACAAAGACAGAGGCGGTGTCTGAATCCCACGACATGGCGGCAGCCATATAGAGAAAGGCAATGTATTGCTCGTTACTTTGGTTGTCATTGTCAATGATGTTTCTCTTTTCTGATTTCTCACATCATTATATGGTACTTCCACTCTCAAATCCTTTTTTTTTTTTTTTTTTACTGTTATTAAATCAAGGGCGGCAGCCGGCAGGCGTAACTTGTTTCAGCATTGTTATTGTTTGCCTAACGTTATTTATAATGAATATTTTATTGGGTTTATTAGGGAAAACCCCCTTGTTCATATTTTCTAATGAGGTAGATCCAATTTTTTTTCCCCTTTTTGAGATACACCCAATTTTGCCAACTTGGCAAAATATATTATATAATTTCCCTTTAATACCCCTGTTTTATTATTAAACAGCATTTATTTCCTTTAATACGTGATTTGAGATTTGCTGATACGTTGCCTAAAATCACGGAATAAATTTACGTGAGATCATTGGCCGTTATATCAAATCGTGTACAATATTTTTTGAAGATTTTCTTCATCGTTCCAGCGGGTTTTATCGTCATTGAAGATTTCTGCACCGTCGTGGAAATATGATCGATTTTTGAGCGTTTGTTGTTGGACGTTGTTAAGCGGGTATGAATGCGTTATTCGTTTTTATTTTTTGCTCAATATCCATGATTGTCGTGTACGGTGGTTAGAACTTTTTAAGAGTTGTGTTGATACTTGATTCTATTAAGTAGAACGTTTTTTAACAAAATTATTCCGTCATATATATCGTTTTTCTTGGCCGATGATGTTTGTTTGGAAGAGGATTGACAGAGTTAGAAGAGGATGGTTCACGCAGATCGGACCAGAGTTGTTTTATATGAGCTTCGTAGTTGGTTTATGCAATAATCGGAATAATTGTCCGCTTTGGTCGAGTTCATGTTTTTATCCCGATCGATAGTTGGTTTATTTGTTTATAACAGTCGATTTAAGTGTGCTGGGTAGTAGATTAAAATATAGTTCGTAGTCTTTTTTAATTTAGCGTATGAATTTTGCATTTTAAGTTTATTTTTGATGATATTAATGTATTATCATTCAAATGTATTTGCAGTCTATTTAATTATTTTTTAGTATTCTGCATTTTTAATTTTGTTTCATGATTTTAGGTTTTTTCGATGGCGAATTTCGTACGGATTTTGTTGAGGTTTGGTGGGTTGATTGCTATAAAGAGGTGTTTACGATGTAATGGCTCGGTAACTTCGGTTAAGTGTTAAACCGTTGTAATACAGTAGTATACTATTATGAATACCGTATGATACTACCATTATCATTTTATTATACTATTATGAGATTATTAATGTACTAGAGCTTTTTAACTCGACATATTGGTTTGATTGTGTTATGATGTGTTTTATGTATTTTATCAAAACCCTTGATTGAAATTATGAGATTATTAATGTACTATTTTATTGGTTATGTGGAATACTTTACGTTGGTGTTGTTCTCAATGTTCTTGTCATTTCAGTGGTATATTGTTTGTAACACAATTTCATATCAATATTATAACCGTAATATACTATCATAGCAGATTAATGTACTATATTGAAATTATTAATATACTATGTGGTTGAATAATACGGGATCCATAGTCTATTAACGAGATCCATAGTCGAATTAGATCAATAAGATAGTCTATTACATGATATAAGGAAAATTACCCTAATTGATTAGTATAACAAACATATTATTCAGTTTCCATATATATTATTATTTTTTCATATATATTATTATTTACCCTAATCGTTTTCATATAATAAGGAAAATTACCCTAATTGATTAGTATTTCAAACAAACATATTATTCAGTTTCCATATATATTATTATTTTTTCGAATAGTCAATTAATTAAACCCATAGTCGAATTAGATACATGGGATAGTCTATTAAAAGATATGAGACAGTCTATTAATTTTAAAAAGGTAAAGTAACGAGATTTGTGGGATTTGATTGAGGGTAATTATGTAATTACGAAAAGTTTGGGCTTTTATCAAAATGGCAAATTTAAATTTGGGTCTAAATAGACCCTATTTTATTAGAATTTAATATTTGGGGACCTTTCTAGGGATGAACAAAAATAAACCCATTGAGAGCATCTCTACTCATTTACCCCAAA